CCGTTGTGTAATAACAAAAACAGAAGTTTTACCACCCAATTTTAGTGCATATTCCCTGTGAAAGGTTTATGCAAGTTTTTAAAAAGCACCATTTCAAGTTTTTCTTTTATGTCTTACGTTCTTTCATAAATCGAAAACTTTTTCCTTTTGTACTACAAAATTCTTTTTATCTTGAATACAATTTATGAAAGGGTATTAAGAAACCGAAAAGTTGCTTGGAAAACATATTTTAAGACTCTTATATTTAAAAGTTAGAGAAATGTAATTTAATTAATCTTCTTGTTTTTATAAAATATATTCTACATTTCTCGGAAATTTATTAAATGTTATACTATTATAATATTAATCTTCTTGTTCTTATAAAATATTTTCTACATTTCTCGGAAATTTATTAAATGTTATACTAAAAAAACGAAAAAATTTCGGTTTCGCTCTTTAGAATTTAAAGGTTTACCTTATTACTTAAGGGTAGCTTTTCTGCACTTTTAATCTGAGTATATAATTTAAATGGATGCCTAATATTTTATCGATGGAAACTACCAAAAAAGGCACCAAAAACTTACCTTTGAGGGGAAGATGAAACAAGTTTATTTAATTTATCATATCTTTTTGGAAACTCTTGGAAATTAGGTTTAAAATTGAGGTCTGATGAGAAACAACCCCAGAAATCTAGTAATATTAATGGTCGCTTTTAATAATAACCTAATCATAAATCATAATATGCCATCAACGAAGAACAGAACAAAATATTTATCATAAACTTAAAATTATAAATCCTGAGAAATAATACCTAACCAGCAGATAAAAATTGGTTTTAAAATAATGAATGCAAAAAGAACAATTATAATATTTAAAAGGAAAGACTTCGTGCAAAAAAAAATTATTTTTTTTAAATGCAAAGCGCTTTCGGCATGGTGCCATCATCAGTGCTTATCTACAAAAATTGTGGATGTAAACTTACAATTGATAAATATGTGTAAAAATAAAATCTGAGTAAGACTTTTAAGTCAAAGGTTAAAAATATATATACCGGGTGTTCAAATTAAAGTGTTACAGTTAAATACCGCCGAAAATATGTATTTTAGGAAAAAAGTTTTAGCTATAAAAAACGATTTTAGCCAAATTTTTTCCCCACAAAACTATAATACTTTAGTCTGAAACGTTTTTTTTTTATAATAGGCAGTATTAAGCTGTAACATTTTAATTTGAACACCCGGTATATATGGGTAATTTTAAACAAATTAACAATTAAAAGATAACAAACAGAGTGACATAACCCAGTGTTGGGAATAGTGAGTGTGGAATAAGCCCCTAAATACTCATATCTGATCTCCAGAAGCAAGTTAGCTTGTGTCGAACTAAGCAATTATACCATTCGCATTGAGTACAGTTAAAAACAAGTTAATAAATTAGTTAAAATTTTAAAAAATTTACAAATGTGGAAAATATATTGAAATTTAAATTTAGAATACAATAGTTAATATGAAAAAGGTTAAAGGCAAAAGGCCAAAAGAAAAAACTGCAGGTTTTTTTTCCTTTACATTATAATTGTAAAAAAGTCTACCTACTGTCCACAAACAAGCACATCCAATAAAGTTTTATCGACAAGAACTTGTATTTGAAATTAAAAATTTATTATATAATCTGAGGACTATCAACAAAATATTAATTTTATTTGGGTTAAAGGACACTGTGGCCTCACTGGAAATGAAATTGTAGATCAAGAAGCTAAGGCTGCCTGTAGGATCGGTGTATATACCAAAGTCTCTTCATTGCCTGATATCGTCAATTCACATAAGAAAAACATAAGAAACAGATGGATAAGCCAATACCATGATGTTTCTAAAAATTCAAATAGTCATTATTTTCAACTTCATAGGCAACTTCCTAATAATATTCCTCATCTCAACAATTTTGGTTTACCCAAAAAATATACGTCTATACTATCACGTCTCAAATTAAATCATGGACGGTTTCCTGCCCATTTACATAAAATAAAAATCATAGACTCTCCCACTTGCACTTGCAATAATACGTCGGTTGGAGACGCCAATCACCTTTTCTTTAAATGTCAAAATTATGCATTACAATTTCCTCTACCAGTAAATTTGACATCCCTTCTGACAAGCAACGATAAACATATCCTCGATATTTTAATTAAATTTATATGCGACACTAAGCTAGATACTTGAGACACTACTTCTTTTATTTCTTTCTTTTCTGTATTCCGTTTTTATTATTTAAACATTCTGTGGCAAATGGACACCGTCCGAAGCCATATCTCTCACACAACAACACAAGTTCTTAGTCATCCTCGCTCCAAAATTAAATATTTCTGGAGATTCACAACTTGCTAAATCATAATTATTACTATTAGTAATATTTTAAAATTTAAGCCATATTCGAGCGGTCTACTGGTTTAAATATATTTCATGCGGTTCGAAAACGGTTTGAACTATTCCCATTCGAGTGACCAAACAATGACGTCACGTTGAAATAGGTTTAAACCAGCTACATCTGTTTTTGAAACGTTTCATTGAGAATGGTTCAAGGAAATAGAAATTTTATTAATGTTTAAAATTGTAGCGAATATAATGCATTAAAATTAATTATGAAAGAAGATTTTTTGTATTACGGTTATAAGAAAAAATAGAAAATGCATTATTATGAAGGTTCATAATTTTTAGTAATTTTTGAAAACTTGACCTTGTAATTCTAAATAACTGGTTAAAGTCGGATTCTAAATATAACGATCTATTTTTCATAAAACTTTGGTAATATATGAGCTTTTTTTGAGGCAAAAAGTTATCTGTTGCTAGAGATTTACACACTCACAAATCCTTAGCTGTTAGTGACATCACTGTTTTAAAATCATCTATTTGAGCGCTTTCAAAATCTATGACGTAGTATTAAAACTGGTTCTAAAAGTTGTTGAAAATATTTTTAAACCAAAGAGACCGCTCGAATATGGCTTTAAATTGATTTCCATGGGACAGTGGTGACAAGCGATACTTAAAGACGTTGACCGGTCAAATGTCAAGATAGGAGGTGCGTTCACCTCAGTATTGAACAAGTTTCTCCAAGTGTAATTCGAGTGATTGGAGGTAGTTAAAGGAAATCAAAATTTGTTTGTATTGAATTTAAAGAAAATTTTTCTGAAATTTTTGAGATGCTCTTAGCCGAGTTATTTTCCCAGAAGGGGATTGATATGTAAAAATTAATAATATGACTCAAATTAGGGTAGGCTAATTTTTGAACTTTCTTAAATTTAATTTTGGTGACTAGAGATTAAATTATGTCCGGGTCATACCCGTTGTTAAATGCAATTTGTTTAAGTATATTTAATTCTTGAAGATAGTTTTATTTAGAGGGATTGATAGAAGTCTATGAATATAGCAATAGAAAGCAGACATTTTATGTTGGTGAGGGTGATTTGAAGAATATTGTATCACGTGGTCTGTTTGGGTGAGTTTTCTATATATGCGTGATAGTAATAGTGTATCACGTGTATCACGCATATATAGAAAATCCACAATATTCCCAAGAAGTTCCCAAAAAGAATCTAGGAAGAAGTTTAAGAAAAGAAATTGTAGTAACACTAATTTTATCTCCAGAGTAGAATTATTCATCTATCATTACCAAGTGGTATATATCATATGCTAATAGCAAATTGATATAGGGGCATTTTAACCCGTAGTGCAAGGGGTGCGGGACACACGAACTGCACGTCAAGGAAGCGGCGAGAGATGATAAAAAGAAGTACTAATTTATATATTTATTAGTACTAATATTGGTAAAATTAAAATATAAAAATATTATCATTATTTTAATTTGAGTTAAAAATGCATTTAACAAGTTTAACTGGAAATAAACAAAAAACATTGACTTTAAAAACGCTATTTCACGTCGCAACCAGTCAAGAAATAAAAACATTTTTACACGTTTTAACTCATCATAAAAAAAAACCTAGATCACAAGTGTGTATCGCGACAGTTTCCCGCCTTGCTAAATCGTCGATGGTCCGGTTATGTCTGCAATGTTCTGGACCGACAGAAGGGTGATGGCATCGGTGCGGGCGATTTTTGTCAGGTTGCAGGAAAATTCTAGTTTATCCCCTGAAGCTATAAATGCACCGGGATCCCGGATAAATTGTACTATATTATCTTTAAACCTGTAAATATCAACAACTGAAAATAAAGCTTTTTGTCCCTAATTTGGGCTCGATTCTGTGATGGCTGGTAAATTTTTTTTAAGTTTAATTTTAGGCAATTTCTCTCCGGAAATTGATAAGTACATTAGGTAGTTTACAAATGGAAATTAATTGTTTGGATTTTGTATATCTAAACAATCAGAATTCAGAAAACATCAGATTTCTCAAGATAGATGTCATTTCTACCAAAATCTGATTTTTTATTACCACATTTTTAGATTTCGAGCTTCGAGGTATATTTTTAAAAAATTAAATATTATGTCAATATCAAAGATATACAAATTAAAAATATATCTTATAATTTATGTTTATTACGTGTTTTTATTAAATTAATCTCTATATTCTTAAGATTGGAGAAAATGCAGTAGCGATGCTCCCTAAAAGCCACTGTAATAAATCTATTTGAAAATGTAAGCCAACATAACACAATTTGTTCAAGCTATTTTCATAAAAAAGATGTAATCATCTCTTAGCACTAATGAGAATTGGCGAATACAATAGTTTAACCCTTAGGAATTTACGATGAACCCACACCAACATAAATTATCTATTGGTTAACGAAGGTGATGTAGTAGAATCAGTTCAGAAATAGCCTCTCTGAGCCATTAATTAGATACAATCTTCTTTTTGATATGATGCTCGGAAAACATGGAGAAAACATAATAATGGAATATTTGTGTGTAGGATCCTTTATCTTTAAACAGCAATTTGTTTTCTTTATTATTTGCTTTATTTTTGAAACATCATTTTTATTTAGAAATATCAATTACAGAGCTCATTAGTCATATTCCAACAAGGCAAACTATTTTAATTAGAAAAGACCATTCTAGTTTCAACTTCTTTGAAAACTGGAGATCGATTAGATAAATATTCGAGAATTACGTCAATATCAACACGTCCGATATTTTTGCTTTTAATATTTTCAGTTAAAATAGTAAATTCCCCGTTATTCATTAGCATAAATGAATTAACAACAACTTTGTAGGTTTTATGTTCTTCTAATTTTTCGTATACGGGTACTGTGCAATTTTGACAACGCACTTTAATTGATTTGACTCGTTGACCAATAGGAAGACTCAAATCGTAGTTTATGTGGAAACCTAGAAATTAACAAAAATATAAATTAGTAACCAGTTAAATAATAGTGATCGATTTTAAATTTGGTAGTTTTTTAAAGTTGGTTCACATTTGTTCATGTCAATGTCATTTCAACTAATATTGCTCAGATTAAAAGAAAAAAGTATTTTAAATCGAACTTGATAGCATTCAAATGAGAAATTCATTTTCTATTCAAAAATGTTTTCCTAACACACAAATATTGGTGTTTGTAAAAAATTAACATAAATACAATTAAGAAAAATGATTTATTTAGTAACAATATATAACAAAAATTTATTACAAATTACAAAGTAATCATAAATAATACAGAATGTAAAAGTTTATATGAACACAAATAGAAAATGTCTATAATTTATATAAATTGAAAGATTTCAATTAATTTTAGATAATGGAAGATTGGGTAAAAATTTTATTAAATAAATATTTTCTCTTTTATCATCTACATAATAAATAATTGTAAATAAAAATACAAGGAATGTTAAAATCTGATAATTTAAAAATATGGAATTACATGAATCACGAGGTTTTTATACATATAAAAAATCTTACAATTCTTTTTTGAGATATTTAGTCTCTATTCTTATCTAAAGCTTTGCCCCTTAAAAGAACGTTGTAGATAAGAAAGACTAGAGTGTAATAGATATTTATGTTGGCATTTAATGGCAAATACTTTTTTATCCTACTGATGGCATCATAAGATTTATTTAATTTTTTGCTCAGTAAATCTGTGATAGGCCCAATTTGGATTACTATCAATGATCAAACGTAGGAATTTAACACAATTCTTTCAGTATAACTATTTGTTTTCAAAAATGAATTTAAGAATATTGTTAAAATACTTGGCAGTAAATTTTTCTTCAAAATAGGTGTAAATTGAAATTTACCAGATGATAGTGTTAAATTAATAAGATAAGCAAAGTATTCAGCAAGGTGAACAGCAACTAATTTTTATATTTTAGCTGATATATTTTTGGTTTTGTAACCCTGGTTATATATACAGGAAATGTTCTTAACCCAACTTAATTACATTTTTTACTTAATTTATAAGGGAAAACAAGTACTGATGAGGAAGTGATCATTAGTTATAGTGATCATTCTCCTTCTGCTAGAGCCTTGCTGCCTAGTAAAGGTTCCCGTCTGAAAATACTTGTTCCAAGCATCTCGAACTGTAGACCGCGGAATTCCCAGAATACGGGGCCATAACTTTTAGTACGGCCATCCTCTATTAGTGCAACAATTCAACCCAAGTTTGCTGCAGTTAATACCATTATAACAATACAACACATTCTAATACGTAATTTACCTGTTGCTCAAATTCAAACTATTATAAAGCCAAATGCTTTCTTTGATGACATAATCACAGATATAGTTCATTTAGTTAAAGTCGCATAACATTTTGATCTCAGAAATTAAATCAAAAGTGCATAATTCGAAAATTTTAATCAGTTAAAAGTGTACCGTTAGTTAACAGACTATCAAATACATGCATGTAAGTGTTTGCACCGTTTTTATACAACGTATATCAAAGAAAAGGCAATCTTTAATTCACAAAACCTGTACAACAAAAAACTAAGTTTACATTCTTATCGGCATAAATAAATCCAGCGAATAGGTTAAAACATATATCTATAGTTAAAACAGATCTTTTCGTTAAAGAAAATTTACCACGTTGCCATATCTTGCACCTTATAATAAAAGTAGAAGAATTAAATCAAGCAGCAAATAAATGGGGACATTGAACATTGAAGATATTAAAAAATTACTGGATGATCAAACTGACCATTTAAGAGAAAATTTTAAGAAAGAGATCGGAACTTTGAGAACCGATGTAAAAAAAAGAGATGAAAAGATTTCTTTCCTAGAAAAGAGAAGTCTGTTCCTAGAACGAAAAATTCGAAAAAACAACATCATTATCTTTGGTCTAAATATAAATGAAAATAATATAGTTAGAGAAACCATCGAAAAACTAAATCAATTGTTAGAACTAAATTTTTCACTAAGTGATATTAACAATATTTATCAATTAGGCAAACATGAAAAAGCCCCGATTATAGTAGAATTTATTTCCTATCTAAAAAAAATTGAAATATTTCAAAATGTAGAAAAACTAAAATCATTAAAGGGGGCAAACATATCACTCTCAAATGATTTATGCGAAATAGATAGAAAAAATCATAAAATATTAAGAAAGCACTACAAAATAGCTAAAGAGAAAAATCTTCAAACAAAAATACAAGAATTTCGAATAGAAATAGAAAACAAGTGGTACACAGTTGATGAATTGGAAGAATCATATAGTGAAAGTGATGTTACAAATGAAGGAACTGATGATGAGGAAGAAGATGAGAGCGATATAGAAAAACTCAGGAAAAATGGAATGAGACAAATAGCACCTAACAGTGACCAACAGCCTTCTATCAGTGGGAAAAATAAAATCGGTGATAATCTGCAGACTGCACAAAAAAGAAAGAAAACTATAAATTCAAGTCCGCCAATACGATCACTTAGGAGGAAGAAAAAGAAATGAAATTCAGTTCGGAAAAATTAAAACCTATATTCAGTATATTTAAAATTATTTAAAATTTATTTAATCAATAACCCTTTTTTTTTTTCTTTCCGTTTAAGTTTTGAGTTAAAACAAAAATATATGTATATTGTATGTGTATATATATATATATATATATTGGTTATTTGTTTTTTTTTTCTTTTAGATTGTAAGTATGGATGAATATATACGAAATTTTGAGGTTGAAAAGATAGAAACAAAAATAGCACATAGCACAAATTGTTGCAAAAAACTAATTGTAAAAAATAATAACTTAGACTTAAAGTTGTACTGTAGTAATATTAGGGGATTAGCGAAACATCTAGATGAATTTAAAGCATTAATTGGGGATTTAAATTTGGACTTTCACATTATGATATTAACTGAAACTAGGCAAATTAGTGATATGGAACTTCTTACTATTAAAGGGTATAATTCGATCTATAGTGAAGGTGACTTAAATAAATGCAACGGTGTAGTAGTTTATATAGACAATAAACTAAAATATAAATATAAAATAGTTAAAATAGGTTTATCTAACTGCGTACAAGTAAAGTTGTGCTATTTTAACTTAACCATTATTATCACAGCCATCTACCGGTCTCCATCAACTTGCCCAAAAGTCTTTTGCGACTCCCTCAATGAATATTTTTCTAATAATAATTCTGAAAATGACATCCATATTATGGCAGGAGATATAAACATTGATTTGTTAGATGAAAATAATGAAATATGCGAAACATACTTGAATATATTAAATGAAAAGGGCTTTGTATCAACAATAAACATGAGAACACGAATACAAAATAACACAAAAACATGTCTAGACCACATATTTATTAAAAGTAAAAATACACTAAAATGTAAATACAATCCTATGATATTAGACACGATAATCACGGATCACTTCTCTACATAAATTCAGATGATTTTTTCTGAAACAAAAAAATAAAATGTTAACAAAATACCTAATGCCATTGAATAGATTTAACAAAAAAAAGTTTCTAGAAAATATTAAAAGTGAAAATTGGAGAGAAATTTACTTAAAAACAGACATTAATGATGCTTTTTATACTTTTATACAAAACATACATAATTTAATAGTAAAAAATACCGAAACAATATTTGTTACAAAAAAAGACTACAAAAGGAGTCCGTGGATAACGAACGGATTAATAAAATCTATAAATAAAAAATATAGTTTAATTAAAATAATGAAAAAAGAACCCAATACAGAAAACAAAAATATTTACAAAAAATATAGAAATCAACTAAATAACTTGATTAGAGTTGCTAAAGCAAATTACTATCAAAATAAAACAGGATTCAATCAACTAGACTCTAAAAATATATGGAATTGTGTAAATGACATATGCAAATCTAAAAAAAAAAAATGAAATAAACGAAATTATTTCTGAAACTGGAGAAAAAATTACGCAAAATGAAATGATATCAAATGCGTTTGTTAATTTTTTTACAAATATAGGCCAAACATTAGCCAATCAGATAGACAGTTGTTTAGAAACTGAACTAAACATTAAAAGAAGATATTTTTCACAATCAATATTTTTTAAACCAGTAGACGTTAAAGAAATAAATGAAACCATAAATAATTTAAAAAATAACAAATCTCCCGGACATGATAAAATCACTTCTGAAATATTAAAAGAGACTAAAGAATATATATCTCCCGTAATTGCATATTAATTAATCAATGTCTAGAAAGAGGTTTATTTCCAAATATATTAAAAGATACAATTATTACTCCAATTTTTAAAAATAATGATAAGCTAGATATGACAAATTATAGACCCATTTCTCTAATAACCAGTGTTGCTAAGGTTTTTGAAAAAATATTGAAAAATAGAATTACTAGTTTTTTAAATAAGAACAATATTTTATCACCTAAGCAATACGGTTTTACGGAAAAAAAGTCTACACAGGATGCTCTCGTATATTTAACGACAAATATCTACAAATTTATTGATAATCGCAAACCTTGTATGGCAGTATTTATTGATCTAAAAAAAGCGTTTGATACAATTGATCACAGACAGTTACTGGAAACAATTGAAAACATAGGTATTAGAGGTATGCCATATAAATTATTAAGCGATTACCTAAGTGATAGGCAACAATCTGTAAAAATTAATAACACGGTAAGTATAAAGAAAACGTTACAATATGGTGTACATCAGGGAACCGTCATGGGACCTATATTGTTTAATATATATATCAACCAATTATTTGATTTGGAAGTTGATGGCGAAGTAGTCAGTTTTGCTGATGACACTGTAGTAATTTTTAGTGCAGAAACATGGAACCAATTAAAATCGAAAGTAGAAAAGGAAATGTGTAAAATAATCCACTTTTTCAAAACTAAATTACTAACTGTGAATTACAGCAAAACTTACTATGTACCTTTTACTTCCTTAA